TTTTCCGAGAAGTGGACCAGGGACCGATCTGTTCGAAACAATCTTATATGGTCCGATTTGCTTAAAATTCGGTACGTAGGTAGCTTTTTAGCATATGTGATCCATTTTTTCCGAGAAGTGGACCAGGGACCGATCTATTCGAAGAAATCATATTTGTGGTCCGATTTGCTTAAAGTTCGGTACTTAGGTAGCTTTTTACCGATTTTCATAAAATTTTGTATATAAATAGCTTTCGGTAACCACCATGTTTTAGGCTAAAAAAATTAACTTTTTTCGTGTAGGTGGACCAGGGACCGTTCTATTCGAAAAAATCTTATTATGGTCCGATTTGCTTAAAATTTGGTACGTAAGTAGCTTTTTAGCATATATTAGCATATATGATCCATTTTTTCCGGGAAGTGGTCCAGGGACTGATCTATTCGAAAAAATCGTATTTACGGTCTGATTTGCTTAAAATTCAGTACGCAGGTAGCTTTTTAACATGTATTAGCATATATGATCCATTTTTTCCGAGAAGTGGACCAGGCACCGATCTATTTGAAAAAATTATATTTACGGTCCGATTTGCTTAAAATTCGGTACGTAGGTAGCTTTTTAGCATATATGATCCATTTTTTCCGAGAAGTGGACCAGGGACCGATCTGTTCGAAACAATCTTATTATGGTCCGATTTGCTTAAAATTCGGTACGTAGGAAGCTTTTTAGCATATGTGATCCATTTTTTCCGAGAAGTGGACCAGGGACCGATCTATTCGAAGAAATCATATTTGTGGTCCGATTTGCTTAAAATTCGGTACTTAGGTAGCTTTTTACCTGGATAAGCTTATAGATTCCTGTTTTCCAATTTTAATGCAATTTCGAATATAAATAGCTTTGAGCAACGACCATATCAAGGGGCGAATTCGTCACTTGGCAAGATTTTTTTACGCCAATCAGAAACAACGGATACTGTCAAAATATAATTATAATATAGAATATATCTCAGCTAATATATATTTTTAAAGCCGTTTTTTAGTTTTCGCAAAGCTCGAGGGCGTCTGAACCGATTTTTTTTGAAACTGCCACCTGCCGCACGTGTCCCAAGGATAGTTTTAGGCTAAACAAAAATCTATATGTAAAGGGGGCGTGGCACTTCCCATACAAACCGAATTTCTCATGCTACATATCTCTGAAAGTGTGCATGGTAGAATTCGGGAACTTGGTATGGAGATAAACGAAATCAATCGCAATAAATCGAATTTTTATACTGCATATCTCTGAAAGTATTCAGATATGTATGTAGTTGAAATCAAGCCCATACTCATGGAGAAAATTTGGGCTATTTGAAAAGGGGGTGTGAGGCCTAGAAACGTACCGACCTTTAGCTATCTTTGAATGTATTTTTTAATTCTTTTGTAGGTGTGTTGGTGAGTGAAATCATCCTAAATGGTTGTACGGATTTTAACGAAACTTTTTGTGTGTTTGAGTGGGTCTCTGGATGGTTTAGTTTCACAATTTAATCCGACAGTTGGCGCTGCAGTTGAGTTATTACTAAAAATCTTATTTATGATCCGATTTGGCTAATGTTTTAAATATGTATGCAATACTATTGCAAAAACGTGCTGCCAAGTGGTGCTGAAGTCGAGCTATTACTCAAAATAGCCAAGTGAGAGAAGGGGCCGTGAAGGTCAGATTAAATCGACCTGTTGCACCATTGAGTATATCGAACGCTCCTGCGCTGCGATTGGCCCAATGGATGTGATTTTCCAATATTATTATGCGTTCAAACTTTTAAGTTATTTCGTCTGAAATAAGTATATGTATACTTACGGTGACCATCCGTTCTGTTTTTTGCGGGACCGTACTGTTATTTAAAGGTCTGTCCTGCGTAGTTTTTCAAAACAGAAAACCCCCAAAATGTACTGATTTTTTCTAAGTGTCCTGCCTTTGTCCCGCATTTTCTTCGATATTTTATAATTAACTTTTCCTTATCGAAATAAAAGCAGTGTCGATAACTAATTGATAACTACATAAGGGTAAGCTGGTTTTGAAGGTTCAACTAGTCAATGCGTTCTAAATATTGTACGATTATGGACAATGGATGACGAGAAATTGAAGATCAGCATCAAATATATCGATAACACTGTTCTACAAATTTTGTTGTAATCACTTAAGAAAAAAAATATTTTCCAAGCCAATTTTCCTTTCAAACAAGCGCTTTCGTAATTTTTTTGAAAAACGTGTTATGGGAACATTTCGGACCTATTCGTCAATATCTCATGAAAAAATTATCGAGTCAACATAAGTGACCTACAGTCCTCTTACAAAAATATATTACTTTGCCGATTTCGATGGAAATTGTTAGAGTTACAAGCGACCAAAATCGAAAAATTGATTTTAAATCATTTTCTTTTTACAGTAAATGAAAATCTGATGAGAAATGTAGATGTTGCGGAACATAATCTACACAAAAAATATATATTTTTGCAAAGAGCCCATCAATACCTTTCGAACTGTTGGTCGTTTCATGAGATATTGAGGAATAACTGAAAAAGTACTGAAAATAGGTTTTTCGAACAAATCTCGAAAACACTTCTTCGTGTTCAACGACTCAAAGTTTGCCTAAAAAATTTACTTTACAGAGGTTCATATTTCGTGTAAAGTAATATGTAATCAGCGTTGCCGCTTTGGTAATTTTTAACCAAATTTGGTAATTTTTTTCTTTATTTATCAAGTTTGGTAATTTGGTAATTTATTTTTTAATTTGGTAACTTTTTCGATTCGGTCTTACATGGTTTTGATTCCACATTAGTAAGTGGCCCGTAAGCGTTTCCTTTTATAGAAATACCAGGTAATCCTGAAAGTTTCGCAAGGTGAAAATTGTTCCAGCGTTCCTTGGCTACTAGAATGGTGCGATCCTTAACAAACTGCATGAAAGTGGCTATTGCTAAGAACATCCACCGTGCCCTTTCCTGGAAGGTTTTGGGTGGTTGTTGTTGTTGTAACAGCATACATATTCCCCAAAGAGATTTTGGGGAGTGTTGCTGGAGTGACAGTCCTTGGCCAGATATAAATCTGGGTTTTTCCTGTTACGTAGACCCAACTGTCGTGGGAACTTACCTTTCCCTGTCAGTTCGTCAGCTTTGCAATTACCATCAATTGTCCGGTGTACCCGGCAACCATATATATGAGTAGAATTCTACGAAAATATGTATGTTCTCGTTCAAAAAGCTACGGCATTCAGGGGGAGACTTCACTCTGTCTATGTGTGAGTCGAAAGCTTTCCTTCTTCCTTACAGTGGTCGAAAAAATTATAGCCGCACCATATTTTGACAAGTTTTAACATCTTATTAAAAATTACCAAACTTATTTTATGTGCAGAACTGTACAAATATACATGTCGAGCCCTAACTGCCAAAATAACGTAATTATGTATGTTTGTGCACATTAGTTCTGCACATAAAATTAATTTGGTAATTTTTTGTTGAATTTGGTAACTTTTTTCGGTGATTTTGGTAAAAAATAAAAAAATTTTGTGGCAACACTGTATGTAATATGCCTTATTATAATTTTGTAAATATTCTCCTCGTTATTTGAATAGCGCATCCTTTTAATACTTAGTAGGTACAGTTTTCCTTTTGTTTGTTTAATGTTCATTAACTTCTCATAAAAATATAGCATATTCTACATCTACATCCCATTTAAAAAATTTTTGAAAATTTAAAAAAATAAACATAGGGGCGACATTTTTTGTTGACTGTGCTGCGCATTTTCTTCCATATAAAAATTTTGTCAGCATACTTTGTATGGTAGAAAATCAAAAACAGGGTACGCTATTCAAATGACGAGGAATGTATATATGTAGTATATTTTTGTTATTTTTATACTGCGCAATTATATGTAAGTAAATTGTCCTGCATTTTCAAAATATATTTATGGTCACCGTATGTATACTGCATTTCTGTAGAACGATGATTCGCACCCATTTTGAAATTGCCACCTACTATACTGTAAAGCTTCTACATTCACTATAGAACCGGGTCATTGTTGCCGTCAGGGAGTGAAGATGAAAAAACTTATTTCGCTTTGCGAATAACAGTGCTATGAAATGCCGCACAACTGGAGCATTTCAAGAACTTCTTCACGGATATTTATTAAGTTATTTAAAGCGGCAAATGACCACCAAACCATAATCTTAGCAGACGAATGTGCCAATGAAACTCGTAAACGTGAATTGTTGGTAAAAATGTTGGACCAAAAAGTTTCAATAAAATATATAAAAATTTTGGGCGGGACGAAGTTCGCCGGGTCTGCTAGTAATATTATAATTATAATTATTGTGCAATGCACAGCTTTTTGGAAATGCCTACTATGTCTGCTATCTCGGGCACTTCCAGCAAACGGTCTAGTCAAATATGATTATGTGGATTTTCTTCACATTTTATGGCGTAGTGACCTCACTTGGTCGCCCACTGTGGTGTTGACACACTGTTGTTGCGACCCCGCTAGCACTCGGCTACCCAATAAATATTTAACCGTTGTAAACGAAGGAGCAGACTCCCATAAAGTGAAATCCAGCTCGGCTTTGATATCGGCTGGCTTAGACCTTTCAGATGAAAGTGTCGATTTTTCCATATTCGCTAATTCACTGAGAGCATTCACTTGGATGGCTGTTCAGAAAGGACTATCACATCTAAAGCTTAATTTGTTGAAAGATAGTAGTTATTATTTTGTAGACTACCCGCATTTAAGTCAGTTCGGGTACCTTTGGTACAGCCCTCGTATATATGTATGTACATATGTAAATGGGTAGATATAAGCGTAAATGATGTGAAATTATAATTTTGTATAGCGATATACTACCTATATCTATATATACTGTTTACAAAAGTGTGAAAAGTCGTATATTACATACTAAATATACTTACACAGTGTATTCCCCCGATAACAGTTTTACTATGACGGCAAACAAAATAAAGACTACGCATGCCAAACTTATAAAACTCGCCCGAGCTAATCGGGAAACGTTTTTATAAAGGCATAGGGGAGCTACGACGCCAACTGTAACAAAGAACACAACTCCTAGCCGAACTACGCCCATTGATGTACCCCATGATGGAAAGAAGCGAACCAGTACCTTGGACAAAGTGTCGCCCACAACGACATTGTATGAGATCATAGCTGAAAATATAAATAATGCAATATATAAATTGAGGATGCTATTTGTGGTTATCACGCAGAGTTAGAAAATTAAAAATGTATATGCTACTCTGATTTTCTTTCGAAAATAATAAATTACATTAAATAAAGTCATACATAAGTTATATAAAATAGAATTTGCAAAATTTTGTTACTATTGACAAAGTTTTGTTGACTCACCCGCTTCGCTGGGTGTATGAAATTTTTACGTGTTATATTAACAGTAATTTATATCAATAAAACTGAACATATTTAAACTAAGGTAAACACATAGGAGATTTTCACATTTTTATTCTTTTTAAACCCCTTCAAAATATTTTCAAACCGAAACCTTCTTAAAGCACTTTCCTCTGACACCCATATTGTGATATATGTTTCAATTACCTGATTCCCTTGAACTAAGGTTGTTAAGTCTTGTTGCACAAGTCTTAAGATTAGTTACGCACACTCATAGGGCACACATTTAAGATGCGCATGACCTCAGCATGTGGTAACGATTGTAAGGCCGATAAGTAGATTATTAGAAAGTACCCTGAAGTAAATCGCGCTAGTTCAGGACTAGCGCAGAACTAGCCCTTTAAGAGGCGGTACTGGTTCTCGATCTATCCAAACGCAATGCTTTCAACTGTCTCTTTTTACATGGCAATGTCCTACGAAGTGGAAATTGCCCCCCTCTGCAGAACTTTCGAACTAGTTCTAAACTGGTTCCATTTTGGACAGTTCTGGGACAGTCAGTTTTTCTATGAGAAAAAATTTTAAAACTCAATTATTAGATTATTTTTCTATTCTAAACTGGTTCCATTTTAGACAGATCTGCGACAATAAGTTTTTTATTAAAAAAATCTGATTATTCCATTTTTTGATATTTTTTCGTTTTTTCTGTTCTTTTACAGATTGCTTTTTATAAAACTTTTTTTATTTTTTTTTGTATTTTTTTTATATTATTTGATCACTTTCACTTCAATTTTTAAGCGACACTCAACAATTTAAATCTTAAATCTGAAAATCACAACTGCCTCCTCCGCGATTTGAACTCGTGACCAACGATATTAGAGTCGGAGGTCTTCCCTCTGAGCTATTTTCGTATTGTACGAGAAGTGAGAATTTGTGCATTTACTTCTCAACAGAGCGCAACTAACACACCGAGAGTTTCAACTGTCCCTCTCTGCAGCCGTTTTGCACTAGTTCAGAGATGGTTCTGAAATGTGTAGAGAGGAACTAGCGCTTTAAGAGACTGTCTCTAAATTTTACTGCAGGGTAGCAATTGTGCGCACGTGCAACGGCATTGTACACATACATACATAGTGCACATGCGCACAACATGACCTAACTGCCCGTCTCCCCAGGATACATTTTATATCTTGATACATATGTTAGAATATAAATAGCCAATGGAGACCGCTCATTGCTCTTCAAGAGCAATATATATCAGAGCTTATATCTTGCCATCTATTGCCGGCAATTTGGTAGTTTGACACCTACATGTTCATTTGCATGAAAACTTCGTGGGGGCAACATTATTGATATTTTAATATAAAAGCAAATATTGAACTGTTTTCGGTTAAAATATTTGTGATGCTTTCCATTTCCAGACAACCGGTCAGGTACGAGCATGATTTTTAATTTCGACCAAACTCAAATACATTGTTTGTTGGTTCAAATAACGAGACACGTATTTTTTCTTTTGGCTCGGAAAAATTTTTCGGCCGAATTAAACGCGATTTTGTTTTGCAGGCAAAAATCGATTATTCGAATTGACAGTGAGAATTTTCTTCTAAAATGCCCATAACTTTGTCAAAATTTAATAGATTCCAACAAGGTTTTTACTCAAATGTCAGTAATTCTTGTCACTTCAAGAAAGAATCATATAATTATTGATTTTCATTATTTAAAATTTTTTATTTAACAGAAAACAAAAAGTGCATTTTTTTTTTTTAATTTAATTTCTCAAAAAGTGTATTTTTTTTTCTCTCAAACTTTTTTACCGGGAAAGAGACACTTTGAACTACAATCAACCCAAATCTCTAATAGCGAAGATTTTTTTTTTCTGAGTTATGATTTTTTATAGAAAATATACGTTTTTGTGGTACATAATACAATATTCTTATATTGTTTAACTAAATGGAACATATGTATGTAATATATCAGCAAAAAGTACAGCCGTGATAATTTTTTGTGTATCAAATAGATATTAGAATACACTTTCCACCATACAGTTTCGATTATAAAAAGCGGAAAAATGTGATTTTGTAATTCTCACTGTCAATTCGAATAATCGATTTTTGCCTGAAAAACAAAATCGCGTTTAATTCGGCCGAAAAATTTTTCCGAGCCAAAAGAAAAATATGTGTCTCATTATGTGGACCAACAAACAATGTATTTGAGTTTGGTCGAAATTAATAATCATGCTCGTATCTGACCGGTTGTCTGGAAATGGAAAGTATATTGTTATTATGTAATTGGATGTAAAATAGCCTATTTTCTAAATTTTTTAAGTGATTAAATCCGGCAAAAATTCTTTTTTAGAAGCTATCTCACAGATGCTTATATCAAGATATAAAAAGCCCACACAAATATTGCCACTGATATAATTTATATCTAGCGACCAAAATGACAGCTGGACAGCAATAAATTTTATCCTATGGAGACGACCAGTAAGGGTTGTTTAGTTGGCAATTATAGACATTAGAATTCAATGCCAGGGTGTATGGGAATAGTTACGTATGTATTTCTTAAATGTTATGAAATGCGATTGGCTTAAAATGCAAATGAAACCGTATACTATTTTTATTACTTCCTGGCACTGTCGGTTTAAGTGTTTTTCTAGATAAGTTATACATACCTACTACATGTGTAGTGCAACACACATGTTTTAGATATACTATGGTTAGGGTAATAATTGTGTATGTGTAGGTTAAGAGTTTTTGTTATAAATAAAGGCTCTGGGACACCAGAGCGTCGGTTATCTACCAAACCCCCGCGTTAATAGTTGGTGGCCTTAACTGAGTTTTTTTGAACAGTGTACATTTTTTTTTAAGTTTGGCCGTATAAGAGTATTGGTAAGTATTAATATATACATATATATATACTTTTAGTTTTTTACCTATAAAGTTTTTTGTGTGCATTAAAAGCTTAATAAAAAAAAAGTAAAAGCACTGGATTCTGCGCTTAACGAAAATCAAACCATTGCAAGCAGAATCTCTGCTCTGTATCAGGAAATAAAAAATTTTAGGGGACAAAATATTGAAGAGGCACAGATCCAACGTTGGAGGCGTGTAGTAACCGATCTGTCTAGCCAATTTGAGGAGAAGGAGTGTATCCTCAAAGAGGCCTCTTCAACCCTAAAAAGAAACCCTTATTTTAAAGAAAAGCATGCAGAGCAAATTAGAGAATTTTTCAATAATACCTCAACTCTGATTGTGACCGTGGAAATGGAATCTAAAGCATAGTTTGCAAGCAACGGGAGTGATAGTCTCACCACCAGCACCTCAGCCACCTACATCTAGTCACACATTAGGTTCAATCGTTACAGCTTCCTTGATTTCAAAATCAGAACGGCAATTTAAGTTCGTGCTAGAAGATCTTAGCAAGACTATTGACAAATTTTTGGGAAATAAGATTCCAAAAGTCTTCCTTCTGGAAAGTGCCAAAGAAGCTAAAATGATGTATCGCAATTACATAGGATGTGACGAGAATAGTTTAGAAGATTTATTTCAAAACGTAAGTTTTAATCTCGATGAGGCTTTGGACTTCGCTCCTGAAGTTAAAAAACCGCACTGCCAAAAATAGATATTCCGGTATTCTCTGGAGACTATATTCAGTGGAACACGTTTAGAGAATTGTTTTCTCAAATAATAGGTTCAGCCAGTATCTCGGATACACAGAAAATGATTTGTTTGAAATCAAAGCTAAGAGGGGAAGCAGCAATGACGATCGCGAACCTACCAGCAAATGCAGAAAACTATCCAATTGCATGGAACCTCTTGGATAATAAATATACCAACTTGAGAGCGCAAACTGCCATACATTTTTCGAACATAATGGGGGCACCTCATACGACTGAAAATCTAGAAAGTGTAAAAAGATTGATAGAAGTGATTGAGGAAAATTTGCAAGCTGTAAAAGCAACAAAATTAAGTTCTGAAAGTATACTGCAAGGCCTTTCAAGTTTCATTTTAGTACGAAAAATGAGTAATGATTTAAGATTGAAGTATGAAACTTCACATCAGAAGTCACGAGAAATTTTTAAATCATGAGTTTTATGCACTGCAAGCAGCACAAAAATCATCAAAAAAGGATGGGTCATCCAAATGGGATGACCACATTAAAGAATTGGCAAACAGAAAGGAAATCGAATGCATCATGGCATGTAGTAATCGACGTTTCCTTTTTCAATGCACAAAATTTAAAGACCTTACCATTAAAGAAAAAATAACTTATGCTCGAAATGTTTAAAGAGTGGACATTCGTGTAAAAATTGCAATGGGTATAATTGTCTTATATGTAATGATGGTCATAGCACATTCTTACACAAAGTTAGTAATGAAAAAGGTGCAATTACAAAAAGTACCATTAAGCTAGGATGCGAAAATTCAGAAAAATGCATTTTGTTAGCTACAGCGGTTGTTTATATCCAAGATGCAAAAGGCAAATGGATCAAAGGCAGAGCGCTTCTTGATAGCGGCTCTCAAGTAAATTTGATGTTAAAATCGTTCCTAAAGGAATTAAGACTTAAAGGCGAAGCAATTAAATCAGCAGCGATAGAAGGTGTTGGCAAAACACAATCAAAAATTGAAGAACAAGTAAATATAAAAATTAAGTCCAGAATGCATATGAGTAATTTCGAAACAAATCTGGAAGTACTAATAGCGCAGGAATTAATAACCAAATTGCAGGCAGAAGAAGCCATTATTAAAAAGATTCCAAATAACATTGAATTAGCTGATCCAAATTTTAATTTTCCTAAGGAAGTGGACATATTA